TTTTAGGTCGAAACTGAGCAAAATTAGGAAATCTGATTTTTTCCTCTTTTGGGCTGGTTTAGGATCTGGATCGATCGATCCGGTCGTCAGAAACGCAGCCTTCGGTCGATCCTGGACTGGCCCGACGTTTTGCGTAAATTCGGATCGGTCGATCCTGGGGTCGATCCTGAGGTCGATCCTGGGGTCAATTTCAGCTTTTTTGTTCATTTTCTTCCTTTCTTTGTTCCATCTTGCCTTAGACTCGTTCCAAACGTATTTCAACCTGCAAAGACTCTAAAAACAAAGAAAATACTCGATAAAACACTAAAAACACGGGTTAGAATGCGTTAAAAACGCAACACATCAATTACCTTTTTTTATTTGTCTTTTTGAATAACACCACAACTTTTTCAATTAGCAAACTCCTTGATTGTGTTTACTACTAAATTTGTATCTAATTTCTTCTTAAGTCATCCACTAGATCAACCTCAGGCTCAAATTTTCAAAATCTTTATTCCAAAAATGTAATATGTGTAGACATACATGCATACGCCTCTTTGAACTTTCTAGACACATAAATTTCCAAAAATTGGACACATTATGATGCTTTATTTCATGTTTTAATAATTCTTCGGAATTTTGTATCATTGTGATTGTGAAGAAGAATGTGGAAAGTCTTTGATTTTATGTATTTCTAGATAATTTTGTATCATTATGATTGTGAAGAAGAATGTGGCTAAGGTTCGGCTTTTTTTTTCAGATGATAATTCTATCATCAATCTCCTTATCGTTCGCTTGGTCTCTATTATGATCCGTCGGAAAAAAAACGGATATGAGTTTGTTTGAGACGTTTGATCATTTGTAAGTTAGCCCGTTCCTTCACCCCTACAACCGAGTTCGATATCGAGAAGACCTTAAAAGCCTAAACTCTCCATACCAGCCTTAATTGCTTCATGTATTAAGAGAGGATCAAACAGTTCCAAGTTTGAGTCTCTATAGGCTGGACTCGGAGAATTTTCCTTGTCCTACCAACCATAGATGGGGTTGTTGGAAAAGGTTTTTGGAGTTTTTGTACACTGAGAAAATATTTTATTATTTATTTTACACAATGGTTCAACCGTAAATATACAAAAAGACAAAGGCATAATGTGTATAATGCACATTTCTTGAACAATTTCAGTTTGTTCTCACAAATCCAGTATTTTTTATAGCTATTGAGCAGCTATACAAGATATGTCTGTTGTGATGTATATATCATTGTTTCCCTATGTACATAGCCTAATACTCTAAAAAAAAAGCAGTGTTTCCATGAGAGGTTTTGACGGTTGCACGTGGCCAAGTGATTCGACTATAATCTTCCTAGCTTTCGTAGCGTCCCTTACAACCTTAAAGTATTATTGAAAAGAGTAAGAGGGCAAACCCATTAAATACTACTACAACAAAACTAAACAAGAACGGGTTCTAGATAGTCTTAGTTCGTAGACCACGCTACATACCAAGAATGAAAACCTTAAAGACTCAACATACAGCAGCGACAATAACGGCGAGTTTTCTTTTTCTTTCTCAAGGGTAGTCACTTCCTCAAACAAAGAGACAACACCATTCATATTTCTCTTCAAATAAGATTAATTAGGAGATGAGTAAAGGAAAAGTACAGTGTGATAGTTTATACGAAAGCTTACTCGTCGATTTTCCATTTGCGCGTGTTTAGATACTGCTTCAAGATGTCTAGGATAAATTGCAGAGTGCACTAACTGGAATTCGGCTCTGACACCATCTATATTCCCTTTTTGCTCTTTTAATCCAACAGCAAAAATATGAGTTTCAGATTGTTAAACAACAACCAAAGCAGAATATCAAGTTATTTTACAAAGCCAATCATAAGTAATGCGATTAAACTACCCAAAAAGGGTGGTGAAACACATTTCATACTTTGACAAACAAAACATACTCGTTCATAAAAGGTGATGATTGGTAATTATTCAAAGCCCCGTTAAAAGTTATGCAGGAAACTTATCAATGTCAATGGCATATAGTTTTTGAAAGATTTTTAAAATAGAGAAATGGAGGATTACTTACCCTCCAATGATCTTTGGATCTGCGAAGTAAGTGGTGAGTCTATATATTTATTATTTAATATAACATTATTTGAT